CATAGTTTAGACGCACTTAAACTCCCTGCTAGCAAATAATCTTTGTTAACTTAACGACGAACAGTTTAAGCTTAACAACATGTAAATGAGCTTGGACGTCAGTGGGTTAATGGGAGTGATGAAGGCATGATTAATCAAGATACCAAATTCATGATGACATTGATCATTATGAAAGAAAAAAGGAATTGAGTATCATCTTCATTCCTGTACTTTTGAGTGAAGAAAGTAACGAGAAGGAAGATGAAAGTACCCGAGATGGTAATAATAAATAATGGCAAATCCGATTTAGGAACGATAATCATCCGACATAATATGCTCCAAATAAGCTCAGGTTCACCAGAAAGTAAAAGCAGGTAGTGATTTTAATATAATCCCTTTATATTCTTCGAGGAGATCACAATGTATTATCGCCAATATGCAAGACGAGAGCAAGTTAAATAACGAAAATCATCTGCTCGTACTTTTTATGTATGAACAATCCTAGAATTTGTGGTGTCATGATGATTATAAAGTCATCGATCAAGCCGAGTAAAATACGCCAATTCTTGTTTATGTTATCCTCAAAGAAAATGAATGTTAACGTTGGGATTAACCCGGATAGGATGGTGTCAATGACTTCTGAAGTGGAGTCATTTCTACCCTGTTGAAATGATTGCGACGTTGAAGGGAGAAAATCAAACGACACTAATATTAGGAATATTAGAAATATCAGAAATTTAGTCGTCATTGTTTGTTTTATTTCATTCACGAATGATTTTAATAAAGTGAAAAAAAGTGATGAGTTTTGTTTGTAATGTTTTAATGTTTTATTATTATAATCAACTAACAAGATTATAAATGACAATTATTGCCCAAATTAGTAATATAAATCGCATTATTTTTTTGTAAACATTTCTCGATACTTTAGCGAAATTGTTTATTGTTTATTTTCTTTTACAAATATTTTTTTTGCAAATGAAAAAGGTTTTTTTGATGAGGAAATATTATAGAATACTTTGTTGCTTTTGTTATGCACGATTGTTTATAGTTCTTATAAATTTTCGAGGTGCAAATTATTTTGTTTGTTGCCCTGATCAATTAATTGTACAAAAGATAGACCGGAAAAGGTAAAGGATTTAGCGGTAATGAAGTTTATTTATTTCATGAAGGACACAAATTGCGCAACTTTCCCCGACTTCATTCCCTCAAGTAATGTAATTTGAGCCTGACTTGCTGTACATATGAAAAGTTCAAAAATTTAAAGATCAAGCTCAAAGAGATAATGAATGATTTAATCACCTGTTGCTAAAACCTTTGTGAAACCACCTCCTACCGGGACGCTTCGATATCATGAATTGCAATTTCTTCACCTGACGTAAAATTAATTTTTATGGTAATGAAAATTTTAATGAAATTTTTTACAAAGTACAAGTGATATTTAACATTAAATGCAAGTAATAAATTAATTAAAATAACGATAATAATATATAATATAATGTTCATTTTCATTTTTTTTTTTTTAAAAAAAAAAAAAATAGAAAAAAAAATGATTAATCTAACTTATGAAATCCAAGGATGATTTAATAAATCTTGAGTAGAAGGTCGATTGATTGGGTTTACTTGTATACACTAATAATAATATTTATCGTTAAGAACATTGAAAAATAATAATGAATCTTTATAAAATCTTTACATACCGAATAAATAAAATGTCTTGCTTCAGCGGAAAAATTATCATCGAGTAAAGTATAATCGGCCTTAAGGATTCTGTTAGTAATTTCAAATTCTTCATCATCCTCAAAAGGTGACTCGTTTGTAAGTAGTATATATGCCAATACTCCTATGCTCCATATATCGGTCTTTTCATTATGTGGTAAGCTTAATACAAGTTCCGGAGATCTATAGACAAGTGTACCGACTCCTACCCCTTTTAATCTAATGATATGATAACTAAATTAGCCATTTATTTTTTATTTTTTACAAAAAAAGAAATAAATTAAAAAATTACTTTTTGTTATCCTTCGATAATATTCCACAAAGGCCGAAATCGCAAATTTTAACAAGGCCATCATCAAAAAGCAAAAGATTCTCTGGTTTTATATCTCTATGAACAATATTTCGTTGATGCATATGGTTTATTCCGCATACTAATTGTGAAATGATCTAATCAGAGAAACAAGTGTTAAAGAGGATCCAAAATTACAATTAAAACAAAAAGATATATAAAACCAATTTACCTTTGCAGTAGAAACTTCATCAAATGCTCCATGATTCAAGACATGATCCAACATATCGCCTCCTGGAGCATATTCAAGTACAATATAGATATAATCTTCAGTCATCATGAATCCATAATATTTAACAATAAATTTGTTACTATAAATGTATAAATGTATATATTTTTTGTTTAATAACTATCCTTTCTAACGTTGTAAATGGATAAAAATCTATCATATTCTTACTTTAAACCACTGTGTATTAAATGTTCATTTTTCAATAAATCATGATTCTCATAGATTTCTAATGGAATCTCCTTTAATACGAATTCTTTATTAGAAATTTTATCCCTAACTAAAAGAGCTTTACCGTAATGTCCTCTCCCTATTTCTTTTATACACTCATATGACGATATGCACCTTGACCTATTACGATAAAAAAAATCTTTTAATTTTAAATCTTTAATTTTCAACCCTTTTACAAAAAAGATCATAATTACATTGGTAGATGATTGATGGAATTACTTCTTGAAATACAAACTGTCTTGTCTATATTTTCATTTGTTTTCTTTGATTTTATTTTGATAGGTGGATTCTTTTTTTTTTTAAGAAAAAAAAAATTATTATTATTAATTAAGTTATCATTCAGCTTTGATTTGTAATTAGAGGCAAAAAAAAAAAATTTAATATTTACTCTTTTCTTTTGAGATTCGCGCACTGTATTATATACATCCCACGCACTCCATATGGCCAAACCGAGTCCAATTAGTAAAATGACTTTTGCCATCTTTTTAGTTTTTATTAAATTAATTAATTTACTTAATTTACGAAAGGAAAAAAAAAAAGTTCCTCAGGCGAAATTTTTTTTAAATAGTAAAAAGAAATAGGATCAAAAGGAAATCATCAAATTTAAAGAATTATCCCAACTATTTAATGTAATTTTATTTTTAATGTACTACCGAAACGATAAATCTTTTGATTACCCAAATGGAGAGAATCTTCAAAAAAAGAAAAAGAATTAAGAAAAAAAACAAACCTAATTTAATTTATAAATATAAAAGGAACAAAGCGGGTGGTTACACAATGATCATTTATTTGTTAGTAGCAATTAATTTATTTTATTTATGGAACAAATTTTTTTTTTATAAAAATAATTACAACTCGCATCGAATAATTAATTTAATGTCCCGAAAACTTATTATTTTGTTTATCAAAATACCAAATTCCGCCTTTTGTGCGACAATGTGTGTCTTTGTGTTCATCATTATATGTTTCTGCATCAAATAAATTCTATTTATATAAATTGTTTTAAAAGACATATTAAAAACATTAAATGAAATATTTAATAGTGTTTCAAATTGCTGGCTCATGTGATACCAATGAGCTATTATAAGTCTACTTGATTAAGCATTTTAAAATGAACCTTTCAACCTTCACTTGATTTACAAGTGCGTTAAGAGATTATTAAATGTATCAAATTTTAAATTTGATCATTATGCAACGAAAATAACCCGTGCTAAATTTATAAACGATGAAATCATTCGTTTCTTAAATAGTCGATATTTTCAGGATGGCTGAGTTTAGTCATTCAACCCATTGATACTGCATGATGTCCAATCATACTGAATCATTATATCATTATATGGTCAGGCTTAAACTGTAAATTTGGCCATTTGACCAACACTTGGCATATCGTTAAGATGGATTTGGTAAAGAATCATGATAAGGTGATTTTAAATGTCTCATTCATATAATTTGAGCATAACCTTAATTAAATAACGAAGGTTAACCTCTTTTTCATAGATTTATGCAATACCTGGTGGTCTTTTTTCGTTGCGTCCAAGAAAATATGCTAGGAGTATGACTTTTATCAGTTATGGCAAGTATTTATTTATCTTTTTAAGTAAAAATTTCTTATGCAATCATACAACGTATCAGGTTTGTGGCACAGCAAATTTCATTTTCAAAATTAAAAATGTATATAGT